GTGGATGTTGTCTCCCTGGACTTGAGCAAGGCTTTTGACACTGTCTCCCATCACATCCTCCTAGGTAAGCTCAGGAAGTGAGGGCTGGATGAGTGGACAGTGAGGTGGATTGAGAACTGTCTGGATGGCAGAGCTCAGAGGGTTGTGGTCAGTGGCGCAGAGTCTAGTTGGAGACCTGTAGCTAGCAGTGTCCCCCAGGGGTCAGTACGGGGTCCAGTCTTGTTCAATGTATTCATCAATGACCTGGATGAAGGGACAAGTCTAGCAGCGTACCTCTCCTTTTTGGCGTCTCCACCACTTGTGTCAAGAAGTTATCCTCAATGCTCTGCAGGAACCTCTTTGACTGTTTGTGCCTAGCTGTGCTCTCTTCCCAGCAGATGTCAGGGTGGTTGAAGTCTCCCATGAGAACCAGGGCCTGTGATCGTGAGGCTACTTCCAGTTGTCTGTAGAAGGCCTCATCGACTTCCTCTTCCTGATCAGGTGGCCTGTAGTAAACCCCCACCACCGTGTCACCCATGTTAGCCTGGGCAATGTGCTCTAGATGACCCTGCTTGAGCAGGGGGTTGGACTAGATGATCTCCAGAGGTCCCTGTCAACCTCAGTCATTCTGTGATTCTTTGTTCGGAAATGTATTATGAGAGATTGTACAATATATTTTTGCATCAAATAGGCAATATATTCAATAACTTATACCTGTTACTAATTTACTACATACATAGTTATCCTGGTAGGTATGTGTATAGAAACAGAAGTACAATATAGAGTTACCAAGGCATACTCCTTCTTGATTTGGTTTTATTAACTTATGTTATGCAATTAAACAATAAAAATAACCATTTACCATGAAAGTCATTTTCTGGGGTTGTTCTTGTTATATTACTGAGTTACCTATAAAATACAAAATCACTGGTGGTTATTTTATGGTGGTTATTTTATTTTATGCTCAGCTACACAAGTACTAAAATTTGCATCAATGTGTCCAAATAGCTTTGATGATTAGCTTTTGCAGCACTTCCCAAATAAAGATTAATGAAGCGCGAAAAGGCAATACTATCATAATTAAAACATTATGTCATCAGAAAAGAAAAGCTAATACAATACCTATAATATTTTCAACATACTATTGTGCAAAACTATGAGTTGTAAAGCAACACTAATGAAGAATTATAAATTATAAAATAAAAACAGACTGCTATAGGACTCATCACCTCAGAACCTTTTAGCAGTCTTTAAATGTTTGAATAAATTATTCCTGAAAATATACATTGTATATAAACAAAAACTCATGACTAACAGAATTGTTTTAATTAATATAAACATGCAAAAATATAAAGTTTTGGAAAGTCTCCTTACGGTCTAAATAAACTATGTGTGGGCAAGACTAATTCTATTCTCTTGCATAATTTGGAGGCACTTTGACTAGATTTCAGTTTGCTAATCTACTAACAAGAATGCAACTAGAAGGAAATTTGTATTCTATACAGTTTTATAAATCACACTGCATTAAGCCATGTGACTAACATCTGTTGCACATTGTTTCTTCTTTGATCCTTTCTCCAGAGGAAAAGCAGAAGCAAAGACGTTTCTTATTTTGATAGGATTTTTTTAAATATATATAGACACAGTTATTAAATATTTATGATAAGCAAGCACAGGCAATGACATTCACCTTGGTCCTATAGCAAGGTGGTACAGTATGTCCTGTTTTATAGTTCCTAGGAGACTTCACTTAACAAAATTAGATCAACCCTGCTGACATTTTCCGCCCTGGACAAGCTTCAGTTTTCTTACAAAGAACTCCCCTGTATTACAGATCACCACAGGGTTCACCACTGTGAAACTTTACATGGTCTTTTAGATTTTTTGTGCCCATATCACAGAGCATCTTTAAGATCCTCAAAACCTTCAAATTTATTCTAAATTCTATGGAAAGCTAATCTGAAAAGGAGAGGTTTGATATGTTCCCAACATAGCCTCTGTTGCTTGAGGAAATGTGCTAACTTCCCTGTTTTACTTAGCTTCCTACATAGTGAAAGCCTTCCTCTGCCATATGCATTACTTAAAGCTTGCTTTCATCAGCTGTTCTCAGTGCATGAGCCACTCTTATCTAAAAACTGATGTATGATGGTTAATGATACAGTAGGTATGATTGATTTGGTAGATACTATTAGTAGGCACACAGATACAAGGAAAGGGGGAGTTGAGGAGACACTGAGACACTACTTTGCACATGCTGCAGTTGAACAAGAAAAACTCTCTCTGCTCAGCAGCTCCAGATTACCAGCTTCTCTGAGCATCTTTTCTTAATATTTATATCCCCTAACTGATACTAGGGCACAAATCTAGAGTTAACAATTTCTCAGATCAAGGTAACTTGGCTTAAGCAATGGTTGCTGGACTGAACTCAAAGTTAAAGGAGGCTTCAGCATATTAAGCTGCTCTTAAGGAACAGACACTGCTTAGAGTTTTTCATCTCTAATTCTGCTACTTCCTGCCACCATGGTAAAAACCTTTCTTAGTATAATTGTTTCACACTTGGCACAGAAATGATATCAACAAGTAGGTTTTTGTTAAGTTTCCAGTTCCACACCTCTTGCCTGCTGGTGTTACATCTACACATTGATCTCTGCAAGAGTTCTAGTTAGCTAAAGGTAAATGTAGTTAACTCTTGTGGTCACCAGCTCAGACTTGATTGTTGTCAAGCAAGAGGCTTTGCAAGTATTATTGTCTCAACACTCCTAGGTTATTGGGCTAGTTTTTAGCCATAGGTTGCATTAAGGTTCTTTGTGGATTGTGTGGAGCGTCTTAGGCTACACAGGTTCCCAAGCAGCTCTGACTTACTGGTATATTCTCCAGGCAGGAATTCTGGTGGGCTCTGTCAATCAGCATCTTTATCTTGCTGAGCTGAGATAAAGGCATAGGACTCAGTGTGGTAATGGCTTTGTACCACCTCCTCTTCTAGGACATGCCTTACATAATTGCAGTTTACTGGGGTGATATTGGCATACATGTCTCACTGACTTCACGCACAGTTTCTAATCATGTACCAGTCTGAACTTCAACACCACAGCTCCGAGCTGTCCTGCAAGTTTTCTATTTAACAGAACTTTTGTGAAAAATGTCACTGAGAGCACAAAAACTAAGCCACAGCAGATAAAACTTGAGTATTTTCTATATAATATTGTAGAGAACTGTAATAGTGTGCATGAACAGAGAATGGATGGGAATGCCTGGGTGTGGAGGCACCAGAGGAACGCACAGGAAGGAAAGGGCCTGCAGAAAGGCCTGTGTTAATGGCACCCAGATTGGCAGGTCATCAAGATCCCAGCACATCTAAGTGCAGTTTCACAAGACACCCAAAGAACAGTGAACAAATTCTGATGACTCACAAAGCGGTGCAGGATGGAAACACTGATCCCTGTCAGCTCCAAAAGGGTACAAAAAGGCATATCTAAAACCTGCACATGGTTGCAAGTTGACAAAGAACCCAGAAGGCATAAGGAGGACTTGACAGCATGTCCTTCGTGTCATCATAACCAATCCTGGACCTAACAGCTGGACACAAGCATTGTGGTGCCTGCCTGCCTGACAGTTTGCTTGGACACCACATACATTCTGGTGCTCGTCAGTATGAGAACGTGAATGAAACCTGTTTCATTTCAGGTTTTATTTGATTTATTTTAAGATAAAATCACCTTCCCCTCTCAATTGATTCAGGTCACAGGGAGATTTTGGTGCAGGCAAACTAGATATTTTTAGAGGAAGCTAAACAGGAACCTCTGTTCCAGTTGCACACCAAATTCACTTCACACCTAACAGGAATGGAAGGGTCTGAACCAGTAACTGCTTCTTTGATCAGCTTCAAACCACGGGTAAGAATTTTTTATCTCAGGGGACCGGACTAAATCAAGTACAAAGTATACCTCTCCAAGCGTAGGCACTCTAGATTTAGGGGCCTCCATATTGATTATTTCAACCAACTGACCCATTGTTATTGCACTGTATTACTTGCTCATGTAGACAATGCCAAGTAACAGTTTTTTTTTCCAGACTTTGTTGTCCAATTTTTTTTGCTTGACTTTTCTTTCAAGCAGGGATACAAAGAAATATATGAAAATCCAGAAGCATTTGTGAAGTTATTGACTCATATCTCTAAGCATGCTGATCTCTAAATTACAAATTAGCTCAGCACAGAGTCATTGTAAATTCACTTGCTTATCACGTATAGCTTTTGAGTCTGATGTTAAAGCACAACAGGGATGTAATGTACTCACTATCTCTACCTGAACTGATTTAAAGGAATAGATGTGAACTCACTTAGCTCAGCTAAATTTCTCCGGTTTACAGGCCTCTATGACAAGGCATGCATGATACATTCAGCATTTGTGGAGTTCATTTTAAATATAAAGCCAAAGGCATTAACTACTTCAGCAGCCCTTCCCTTCTTGGTTTATTACAGGCAAGAAAGCAAAAGGGAAGACCAGCCAATTCCCTGCACACACACACACACACACACACACACACTCCAAAAATAACAGTGAAGGATCAGAAGTTCTTTCTACAGTTGCTGGATCCCATATTTCCTATAGCATCTACCAAAAACATGTACTTTGCTGACAAATTAACACTACCTAAGCTGTTCTTAGCAGTTCTGCCACCCATCAAACCTTGTAAACAACCAGATTTTTGTCATCTAAAAATAGAAAGCTTTATTGTGGAAGGTGTGGTAAACCACCTGAACACTCACCACCAAACATTCTTGCCCAAGCCAAAGAAGAGGAAGGCTATTTAATTTTAAAGAAATATTATACAGTACTACAGTGATGTGCAAAGTAGCTGGAAATTATACACAGTGGAAGGAAGTCAAGAAGAGAGAGGAAACTATGTTCCTTGGCAAAATGGGTCCAAAGCTGCCAATGTCTGATGGTGGCAGTGTTGAAAAATGAGTTTTGCATCCTTGGCCAAACAGCAGCAGCAGCAGCTTATTGAAGGTCATAATCACAGCTCTGCAACAGATTCAGCAGCAAATTTAACTAATCAACATATAAACGTCAAAGCAACGAACATTAGCCAAGTGGATTGGATTAACTATTCCAAAAGCACAGAACATGTGACAGATGAAAATGATGCTTTTTGACAAATGCTGGCGACTCCCAAAGATTAGAGTCCCAACTCAGAATGGCAAAGGCTCCTTAGGCCAACTTGCAGCCCACTGCTGCTGAAGTTGGGGGAAAAACTCAGACCTCACATGACACATTACCACAACTGCAGCGTGGGAACATCAGAGCATTGCTGAGAAAACTAACAATGGATCACGAGACAGAAAAGACTGGCTTAGCTGAGCCCTCTCATCAAGAGGAATTGAAATTTGATCTGGGCCCTTGCAAAGCCCCCAGCTAGCAGATGTGGGGACTAAGCAGAGGAAAAGATAGATTAATAAAATGCCAAAATGAAAAGGAGAACTCTAAGGTGAAATGAGCTGCTGAACACTATGAATTTGATAAAACTGTCTTTCAGGAATGAAATCATCCAGCTCTGACAGAATGTTATGACAACAAAGAAATAACAAGAATAACAAATAGCAGGAAGTATAGGATCCAAGCCATTAAGTAGAGAGAGACTAACTGAATGGTCATGATCAAAGCTAGTGCTGAATTACAACATGTATGAGGAAAAGAGACAGAATACTAAAGAGGAGGAGAGGAGTGAATGTTATGAAAGGGGGGGAAGACATGAAGCAGCTGAAAGTGAAAAAATCCCAAATCCCAATGCTATTAAAAAAGATATCTTGTGAGAAGTTTTCAAAGAGGACAACGATAAATAAAACCAAAAGCTGCACTGAGTTCAAGGAGGATGAAGTCACCTTGGTCAGAGGCAATGAGCCTATCATAAAGTACTTGCAGAAGGTCTCAAAGTTTAAAAAAAAAAAAAAAAAGGAGGGTCATTTTAAATATTCATGAATCACTTCCCACCAGAGCTTTAGCACCAAATTTTGTTTACGTAAGAATATACTTGAGAAATTGCATATTCTTGGGAACTGAAACTACCTCTAAAGTGCTATAAAACTGAGGTTCAAATCCTCCACTGCAAAGGCATATAATGGTGAAAGCCTCATCTAACCCACATTCAGTCATTAAGTACTCAATGAGGAAATATATTATCAGATCGTAACAGGGACTTAAAAAGTTGTTTTGGTGGCATTGGAAGAGGAATTATTCTTAATGACCAATAAACAATTCCACTAATTATAGAAGATGGCTGCGATAAGTCTTTTCTTCCAGCCAGAGAATGTATCAGTATGAACACTGGTACTACAAATGAGCCAAAGTATATATTTGGGAAGGCTCATGGAGAAATGCAGAAAGAACACATGGTCATAACAAAAAAAAAAAACACACACAAAAAAACAAAACAAAACATCATTACAGAGAAAGATCTATTCTTCATCACTTTTTAGTCTGTTCTAAATGATCTGGATTATTTCCAGCCTGTGCTAATTTCCCCTTTCCTTCCTTTTTGTTTGTCTTTCTTCCCAAGCCCTCTGGAAGGAAAAAAGAAGAAAAAAAGTCTCAAATCCCTGCTCCATACTAAATGATTCACTACCTGCATACTTCATGAGGTCTAAAGCCTGTGTGCATTGCTTGCTTTTTAAATTACCTGACAATCACACTTCACCTAGAAAAACACCAAAAGCACAACCAGCAGAAAGCGCTCAACCAAACACCATCCAGGAGAAATATAACCCTTACCTGGAGCTCTTTTTCTGTTTGTAAACATTCTCTGGTCCTTCCACTTGCTTCACAATCAAATTAGACTTGAATTTCCTCATATCAAAGCTTTTATTCTAAATTTTATTTGGGGAAGGGAAAAGAACAATTTTAACATTAAAAAAGAGCACCAAACAAACATCTGACAGAAAAAGTGAGATGAAGCATCATATCAGTGCAAGAACACATATTCTCATAAGGACTCTGACAGCTTTGCTTCATAGTTTGGGGCAGGGTTTTCTGTTTATTTGCTTGCTTTTCTCATTAAAAGACTTCTTAGGCCAATTTGTGTTAAAACAAAACAAAACACCCACAAAACAGGACACGCACAATTACTAATAACAATAATTTTTAAATGTCCAAAATTAGCCACAGCAATCAATACAGTATTTTGATCCCTGCAACGAACTCTGAACATTCTCATCTCTCTGAGATGACAGAAGTAAATGGTGGACAAGAATGGTATCAAGAGCTCTCAGATCCCACAAGAGCAATCCTAATATGCAAACATTTCCTAATAAAGGTCAAAAGAGGCCTTCAATAGATTGGTGTTAACCCCACCTTGAAGCCTACAGAAATCATACCCTTACACAATAACAGAACATAAGTTAGAAGATTTCAAAGTTTCGGGAAAAAAGTAATCCTGTGGTCTTCCCCTTGCAAGACCAAAAGGCAAAACACTCCACAGGAATTGTAAGGCAGGGCTATGTGGTCCCTACCCTAATTAGATACTTTTGGAAGATCTAATCCACAGGACTCTAATACTGTCCTGGGGCTTTTGGTCACTACTCAACATTTAAATAAGGCAGAAACAATATTGAGGAACTGGTACTGCAGCAACTTACTAAATTCATAGTATTTCACTGATGTCAAATATACAATCTGAGGGACTAGAAGAAAATTTGCTATTTTCCCCTAAACCATGTAAAACACAGCAGTTAAGACTACTTTCTTTATCTACTGATACAATTGTGCTTAGAATATGCTCACTAGCTATGTCTTCTTCTTGTCTGTCCCCTCAGAGGTGCATGTCATTGCTTTTTTTTTTTTTAATTTTACTTCATGTCATCACTGCTCAGCTCCCCTCTCCATCCATTCATCTTAACAATACATTTACCTGATTTGCAACTGTGCCTCTGCCTTTCTCCACATTGCCTCCTGGTTTCTACACCCCCCTGCAGTTGAAGACAAGAGAAAGTCAACTATTTGGCCTCTATCAAATCATTAAATAAAGTGCACTTGAAGACAGCCTTTATGCACAGAACCGCCTGCACAAGGCACCTCAGTATAGATACGCATAGCTACTATGAGTACCAGGGGCAGTCTGTACTCATTGGGATGGACATCATATGCTAATTCACCCCGCTTCTCAGCCAGAAATAGCGAGACACACTTAGCATAACATACACCAAAACCAAGATAAGGTGAGTCAGTACATAGATAGGATTATCTCCATCTTCCCCCCCCATGTATTAGAAGTAGTGCTACAAATTATTAGCCATGCTGTAGGGATGGGCAGGCAGTCACAACATGGCCTTTCGTTCCTCAATGCAAGGATGCCTGTTGATGACAGAAGTAGCAGGAAATCCCATTTCTATTCCCTTCTCTTCTCTGAGTGGAGATAGGGCCTATTATTTGATAAAGGACAAGGGCTCCAGGAAAAGATGTTTAATTGTTCAAGGAAAGTGACTTTGTGCCCAACTGACCAGCGGCTCAAAGACAGTAGTCTAAATCTCGGACAAAAGGGTGAATTTCTCCCTCCTCCAGAGCCCCCAAAGTTTTAGATAAACTAGATGGAGAAGCCATCACCAGAATCCACTTGTTGGGTATCAAGCTCTAAACTTTCAGGTAAGGACTCCTGATTTGCACAAGATCTCATATTTTCAACAATATCACAATATACCTCATAAGAATTAGGAACAGCATTTTATACCTCATCATTGAGAGCCAAAAAAAAAAAAAACTTACTATAGTACCTGTATATTTTTGAAGACTTAGCTGTAAAACTAAGTTTCATAGATAAATTCTGATCTCATGCTCTCATGCACATGGGACAGATCATGGAATTACTTGTGTTTTACATCAGTGTTATGGAAACCATAATGTTCATTTCAGTATACTCAAAAGAGTTATCTGCTGCATACATAGCTGGTTGCTTAATTTGTAATTGTATGAGCAAAAATACACTGTTCCCTTTGATACATTATTTGGAAAACTGAGCAAAAAAAAATCAACACAAATTCAAAACAGATTAAATTATAAACCAGGTGTCATGAGTACAGGGAGAAAACAGAACTTACACCTGTTTAGTTAGTTGTAAAACGTTGGGGGTTTTAGACTACTTTTACAATATTGCCAAATAATTAAATGCTCTAAAATAGGTAACTGGTCTTCGTCTCACGGCTTCTTTTTTTTTTTTTCAGAGCTATGCATGAATTTTCACCCTAGGGTTGGGGAGGAAAGGGGAGAGTTTGTTGGGTTTATTTTTGAGGCATTGGGGGAGGCAGAAGGGAAGAGACTCAAGACATTCTTCTTGTCTAAGACTATACTGTCGGTTTGGCCTAAGCTCAGGTTACAAACGGAGTTTAAAAAAATAAAAAGACTCTACAAAAATAGTCATGATAGACACCTTTACACATAGACACTAATGAAATATCCCTCACTGTAATCCTACTGCACCTAAAATGATTTCTCAGTTGAACAGGAAACCAAAAAAGTTAAGAAACACATCTCAGCTGCTTTCATTCAACCGAACCAACCAGTAAAATTAATAATGTTAGAGAAGAAAACCTAGTATCACTTAATCTAGAAACAAGCAAAACAAAACCCCCTTCTATTGAACATGGCTGATAAACAATGTCTTCTTGAACCACACATGCTGCAGCAGGACATCAGCAGCACCAAAACAAGGCATTACCTATAACTTAACCACACACAATTTCTAAATAAGTGGATGAAATCACTATATTGCCACACTGAAAAAACTTTCCACGCAAGATGACACCATAGGCAATACAATTAATATTATAGAACACACATCCTCAGAATATCAGGCCCTCTGTCACTAAAGATTCCACCCCTTACCACAATAAAAATAACAAAAGCTATTGAAAATGTACTGAAGCTTCTACATGCGAGGTGGGCATTTTCCAGGATCAAAAGTAATAAGTGAAAATGCTTCTAGTGTTTTTAAAAACAAAGTGGAAAAAGAAAGCACAATGCATTACTCCTGATTAACAGAAATATATCTTTAATTGAAGTTTGGCGCATGCATTTCAAACTTGGCAAAGAGCTAGTACTTCCTATTAAAAACAAGAAGAGGTTCAAAAGACTGGTACAATGTTAGGACAGTGGGTTTGGGCCCAAAGGACCTGAATTCAGCTCCTTCCTTAACCTTGGAGGGGACTGGGAGAAGAAAAAGATTAGTAAATTTTATGCTTCTTTGAAAGATTCTCCTGTAACATCTACAGACACCAATTAGCTACCTGTAAAATGGCAATACATTCCTACCACTTCCTAGAATTTCCTGAGAATAAAATCTTTTAATCCTTGAAAGTCTCTCAAAGTACCATGGCAACATGGGTCATAGAGGCAACACTGGGGAGCAAGTGGGAGGAATTAGTTACTAAATGGTGAAAAACAAAGCAGTAGCTTAGGTAAAACCAATCAAGTCTTAAAATCATAGAGAAAAAAAACGATTCAAAAGGACCTCTGGGGGTCATCTAGTCCAATCTCCTGCTCAAAGCAAGGCTGTCTTCAAAGTTACAGCAGGTTGCTCCAGGTTTTGTTGAGTTTTGAACACCTCCGAGGATGGAGATTGGACAAGCTCTTTGGACAACCTGTTTCAGTACTTAACCACACTCATTGTGAAAACTCTTTTCCTTATATCTAGTCTGAATTTCCTTGCTACAGCTCGTGAACATTGCCTCTTATGTTTTCCCTGTGTACCTCTGAGAAGACTCTGGCTTCGTCTTCTCTGTAACTACTCCTTTAGGTAGTGAGAGATAGCAATTAGAGCCTTGCCTTCCCCAGGCTAAACAAACCCAACTCCATCCGCCTCTTCTCACACAACATATGCTCCATCTGCTAATAATCTTAGTGGCTGCCTGATAGACTCTCTCCCGTCTGTCCGTACCTCTTGTATAATATGGGACCCAAAACTGGACACTGTACTCCAAAAGCTGTGTCACAACTGTAAAGTAGAGGGGAATATTACCCTGAGGCTGGGGGTGAGAGGGAGGAAGGGAAGCAAACCAAAACTGTCTACCCAACTGTCTCTGACTACCCAGAAAGGATTCCTGGCTGGCAGCAAAAAATGGAGTTCAAGATGGATCGCTTTATTCACAATGACTGGATTTGACAGTTTTTGCTCAGTAATGTCACTGTTTTGTGGGAAGATGAAGTCTCAGTTTTCTCTGAGATGGTCCTCAGGAAGCACTCAAAATCCTACTCATATGAAAAAAAGGGTTGAGACTCCATAAATCTGTTCTCCTATTTAAGCTTCCACACAGAGGAACATGATGTAGCTCATCTATGCTGGGAGTACCCATTTATCTACCCATTTATATTTTTATCTTCATTCTCTCCTAGTCTACAACTTTTCTGAGGCACTTTTTTTCTCTCTCTTTGGGGGGAGGGGGGGAGCGCAAAATAGAGCCATTAGTTTGCATGCACAGTTTTGGTGTTTTGTTTAAACTTGAGATCACGGCTGCGATGAAAGAGACTGACATTAGCGGTTGGCAACTGGCGCCATAAGCAAAGCAGTATGCATGAGCGTAATGCTTTCTATGCAATATCCTTTTGCTTTGAGCATCATTTGTCCTGCAGGCTACATTTAAAATCTAAAATCTATTACCCAGTTCAGGTTCTTCCCAGGTGAGGCTGGCTTTTAACATGCTGTCCAGGTCTTTCTGGTATTAAAAACAAAAACAACGTTTTAAATAGATACCCGACTCTTTTCCTCTTTCTAAAAATCTCTCTGACCAGTAATCACATTTTTCCCTTTCCATTCCACAAAGCAAATCTCTAGAACGCCTTCGCAAAACATAGGTATACTGAAATCATCATCTACAGCAGCTTTGTTATATTGCAACAGAGCATGTGAGGCAAGCAAACACTCCAAAAATCTACCAAAAGAGCTACCACTCAAAGGGAACCCCATCTAAACCAAAATCAAACTCTCTATGGTGATCTTTCTACCATAGGCAACACAGATTTCATGGATAATTTCCACAATAGTAAAGTAAACATTTTAAACTCATTTTCACATTACTTACAAAATACAGAACTTTCCAAAGGAAAAATTGCCAACTTCTTCATCTGGAAAGAACTTGGTAATTTGCATCCTTCCTTAAAAGACTCAGCCAAGGCGGACATTCAAAACAGGAAGAAAGAACAGAACCTAGAGTTAAAAAAAAATGGTCTGTGCTCAATTCTGTTTTAGCACTTCTTTTTGCATTGATGGCTTCTTGATATTTTCAGCCATATATCATGCTTGATCCTTCACCTTAGAAGCACAAGAATGACAGCTATGATTCCCTCCTAGGTGGACTCCATTATGAATTTCAAGCTCCAAATTCTATTTAAAAGGAACAGAGCACTGAACATATACAAAAGCACCAGTACTTGCAAATCTTCCTAGGAAGTCTGAGCTCAATAGCTTTTTTCTTTTTCTTCAAATTCAAATCACAGTAGTTACTTGCATCATCAAGTAAAATTTCACTTGATATTTAACCAAGTCATGATCCTGCCAACAAGTATACCAAGTAAAGATGCAAGTACATCTTCCGAATTAAATGGAAAGAATTTTTGTGTATAAACTTGAGGACATGCAAAACCATTTGCAGGATCGGGGATTAAATTCTCAGGTAATTTGCAATCTCCTATATTAAAAAAATAGATATATCAAGAGAGAAAAAAAAAAAAAAAATCCACATCCACAAGCAACCAAATGTGCAAAATCCATGTTCAGATTCTTCACTACATAATGAATCAAAAATAGGTATATATTCTATTTTTCTTTCTCCAAACATCATAGTTTTACTTTTCTTCTTGCTTCAATTTTTGTACTTGGTTATTTCTGTCTAGAAGGCCAACTAGTTGTATGCAAGAAGTGGATTAAGGAGAATTCACACTTAAGAATTAGTCTTGGAAGTGTTTTTTCAAATTA